ACTGCTTTAATGGTCTTCTCTGGAAAGCTGTCTTTTCCAGAAAACATCTTCTGCCCCCTTGAATGCACAGGTTTTATCAAAATCCAAATGAGAATGGGAGCAGCACAGATGGAAAGACAGCAGAACTTGGTGAAGGAGAGACTGTCCAAAGCAAGAAAGGAATCAGTGATGACTGGGAGATGATGGGATCCAGAGAGGTTAAAACAGAGAGGAAAATGATCAAGTTTGGTGACAGAAGGAGATGAGAAATTCAAACTGGGGAATACTGTGTGTTGCATATTCACAAGAAATTCTTGAAATTTATAGAGAAATTTACTCTACCATTGGAGAGTTTTTCTTGGCAAATTTAGAGTTTAATTAGTTGAGTATTTTATTATGAGGGCTCATGTTCAGTTTCACACGAAGGCTTGCAATGCAAGAATGCTATAAAATGTCAGGACTCTGTTTAGCCTCAGCTCAGCAGAAAATAAACCACGTTCAAGTGCCAGCATATTTATTGCAACAGGCACTCAGTGTTTCTGTGCTTCGTAAAGTCTGCTTTAGTGTTTTCGTTGGTGGTGTGAGTGTGAAGGGAGATTTGAAGCTCCTAGGATGACAGACATAAATGCTCGTTCTAGAGTCCAAAGATCTGGTTGTTGACATCACTGTACTGGCAGCTGGCAGTTTATTTATTCATTTGTTTGTTCACCTGCGTCCGAGTAACATTTTATAAAACTTATACTTGAAACTTAGAAATACTATGTGATAGAAAAATCTGCCTTCCCACACTTATTTTTTTTTTTATGCAGCCCATTGTGGGGAGGCTGTGAAGGGCAATCAGTGTGAGGATGGGCTTGAGAAATCTGCCCCCCAACCCTCCTGCCTTGTCCCTGAGGCCAGCGCTGGCCCACAGCAGCTGCAGTTCACATTGGTGAACTCACTGCTCTGCCTGGCCCCAAAAGGTGGGTTGCCAGGTGTTCTCTTTATTTTCCAGACAGTCCCCTATGTGTGCTCTCTGGTGAACCAGAACACCCTTTCGTGATATGATATGATAAGAAAAAAGCCAACCAGTTTGGAATAAGAGATCCTGTGTACCCGTGCTGGCCTTGCGCTGAGCAAGTATGTTACATTTATGGAGCTTGGTTTCGTCAGCTACAATTCAGGGATCATGGTGCCCACCTCCCAGGGTTTCAGGGAGAGCGAGCGGACGCAGGGAAGTCACACACGCTGCTCGGCATCTGGTAGGGTTTCTCTGCTCTCCTCCAGGCATGAAGCATGCGCTCCTGTTGGCACAAGCCTTTCCAGGTAAGAGGTGACCGTTCGCTGTCTCTGTGATAGCATTCAGAAAGTGCTTCTGGAGCACTTTACCAGACTCAGGCCCTGGAATGCCCCCCCTCAGCCTGCCTTCTTCCCTCGCCAGTGACTCCTTCCTCCTGGAAGAAGAGCCGAGGGACAAAGGGAATCGAGTCGCGTCAAAGAGGAGGCCCTGTTTGTGGCACTGGTTTTAGGGAGGCCATTGAGAGGGCTGCAGTGGCAGGAATAAGACGGAAAAGGAGGGTCTAGATAGGATTGATGGTAAGAGGGGAGGGTTGAATGAAAAGAAGATAGCAGTACTCTTGGCAGTCACCAGATCATGCCCTAGGGACTAGGGAGCAGATTGGGAATGCCGAGGCATGAAGGTCAAGGTGTTTCGCAGACATTTCCAGTTCTGTCCTGGAGACTATAGTGTCTGTTGAAATAAACAAATGGTGCACATTTTCATGCAGCCATAAATTGCGTTATCTTTGTGGTGATTTTGTCGCATGTACTGCTGATAAGGATGTGGGTGGCCATAGAGGAAATGTCTTTCTTGGGGTGTGTAATAAGCAGTCAATGAAACTAGGCCAGAGAGAGCGCCTGTGTTTGGAGATGGTTCTGGGTCTCATGGCTTCTCTCCTGCCCCAGCTTGCAGGGCCTTGTCGAATAATCTGCTTAACCTCTTTGAAATTGTTCTTGTCACCTGGTTTCCCTGGGCGTGGGGACAGTGAAATGATTGAAGTGATAGTGCCTTGCTGTGAGATGCACAGATAACGTGGAGCGCATGTGCGCTCAAGAGGAGAAGCTGGTTTTCTGAAAGCTCCTGTCATGTGCTTACAGATAGATAGAGGAGAAATACGAGATACGATGCACCCACACTTCCCTAATGAAACGGCTTATGTACTGTCACTGCGAAGCTCCGGGGTGCGTCCATCACCAGTAATGCCACTCACACTCCTGGGGTGGGGCCTGGGGGTGTTGGGGTGCTGTGCAGTACCTTGCTTCAGCTGCAGAGCTGAGCTCACCAGAAAGAGATAGAGAGCCACGCCTGCATCTGAGCACCAGTCGCCTTTGTAAGGCTGGATTGGACAGGTTCCTCCGCTGCCAAGCCGTCATGCTATTTCTAGGGCTAGAAGTCGCGGCTGCTTCCTCCTTTCCTGTCTCAGAGCAAGCATGATGCTCCGGCGTTGGGTATCTGTCACAACTGTCGATTCTTAAATCTGTCAAGAACGTCCTGATTTCCTAGTTAAAGTCCTAGAGAAGCATAGGAGAGCTACTTTCATATCTCCAAAGGCGACTGAAGTGAGTTAGATACGTTACATAAAGCTGTTCTCTGAATTTGGACTGCTCTACGAGTTCCCTGTCTTTAGCCTCTGTCTATAATTCTTCTTTCTTCCCAAATGAAGTTGGATGTAGGATGAGTAGAATTTAAAATTATAACTGCTGGGACTGCTTAAAACAGGCAAACTTTTAATAGCTTTGAACATGTAAGACCTGGGCATTCTGGTCTCAGATGAAGAGGAAGAGGAGGTCTTCCTCTAAAAGAGGAAGGAGGTCTCCTGACTTCCTGCCTTATCTGCAGCCCATCCAGATGTGCTACTTTCTTTTTGGCTGCACCATAGGGCTTGCATGATCTTAGTTCCCTGACCAGGGATCGATCCCCTGGCCCCAGCAGTGAGAGTGCTGAGTCCTAACCACTGAACCTCCAGGGGATTCCGTAGCTGTTTATTCCGTTACTTTATATTCTCCTGTTGTTGGAGTGCTCTTTCCAAAATCAAGGATTGGCCTCTGGGTGTGGAGGTACCCAGCTGATGCACGAGACTCTAAGGCTTGCAGCCCCCTCTGCCCTTGCCTCTCACAGGTGGGGCCGCATCGCTGCCTTGGTCCCTGTGTTTGGAGCCCAGGCTTGGGCTGTGGTGCCATGCTGGCCGCTGTCTTCTGTGATGCTGTGCAGTTTTCCCTCCTGCTGTCCCTGCCGGCGGCTTCACTATGCTGCCCCATCCTCTCCCCGCGGCAGTGGACAGACTGGTTCCTGGTAGCCACCTAGACATGCAGCTACCACCAAGGCCACATTGTAAGGAAATGTGAGAGCCCGTTCCTGTGTCTAGATGTAGCATTTCTGTTCTTTACATTTGGTAATTTACCCTTAGACTTGACAGTGAATCAGAGTTTGGGAAGTCTTTATGATTTAGAACCCTGTTTCCAGGAGGAGTTTTCTCTTGGCATCTTTGACCCTTAATCCCTGTTGAAGTTGTCATAGCATCAAGGGTCCAGTCAGAATTTGGAGAAGTAACACAAAGGAACACAAAAGGGTGTTTTCTAAAGTATAAACTTCAAACCTCTGCGAGTTAGTCACATGATGATGCAGGCTACAAAGAAATGTGTAATATGTTCATCAGTTGGGGTTGAATTGGTATTTTTTTCCGCCTCCTCCCTGAATTAATAGTAGGCATTCAGTTTTAATTCAGGTCAACAATATAATGCTTATTGCTATTTTAGCAGTGATTATGTGTCAGGCAATATGTTATTTGCATCACATGGTTCTTTTTACGTCTTGATAGCTGTTCTATGAGGTAGACGATATTATTCTCATTGGACAGAGAGCAAAATTGTTCAGAAGGTGAAGTAACTTACAAGTCTACAAAACCAGGAAGTGGCGTGGCTGAAATTTGAACCTGACCTAGCAGACTCTAAAGCATTTATTTGTCCATTGCCTTCCACTTCGTATGGTTTCTGCTGTGTGCAGAAACAGGCTCAAAGCAGAGTGTTATAGATGCAGAAGATAAGAATAAAGTAAAAAAACTTACCATGGAGTTGAAGAAAAGATAGATCACCATAGATCACATAAGGACAGCTGTGAGAAGATCCTGAAGCTCAGTTGAGGTGCTGTGGGGATTAAAGGAAGAGGCTGAGATCCTAACACCCATTTGGGACTTTTAGGAAAAGGATTCACAGAGGAGGTGCATGTGAAGTGGGTCTTGTGGGACTGGCCAAACCTTGCCTGGGGGGATGGATGAGGGAAAGATTTGTGGGTGACTTTTAGGAAAAGGATTCACAGAGGAGGTGCATGTGAAGTGGGTCTTGTGGGACTGGCCAAACCTTGCCTGGGGGGATGGATGAGGGAAAGATTTGTGGGTGATGATAACTGTCAAATGCCCAAGTTAATAAATAAGCTTCTAAACAGACTATTAGAACATACATGTGCCTATATCTCTATGTATGTACCTGTGCGTGTTGCATGTGCATGGATGCAGGCATACATAAATTCTTTATAAAGACCTTATATTCTCTTCAAAAGCAAAAGGCCAACGATTTTAAGTGGCAAAGTTGTCCAAACTCTGTTCTCTAGCTCTCCTGAGAACCGGAACACCTTTAAGCAACACTTACTATTAATAGACATTCATGTTTATACAGGCCAGGTAGGAATGAGTTGTTTTTAAATTTTTTCCGGGCATCTATGATTAGGGCTGCTCCCCCCCCCCCCTTTTTTTTAAGTGTCTGCTCCTCTTTTCTAGCATGTGGAAACATTAGACTTCCTGTTTCTGCTTGATTTTGAAACTATCTCCTGTCCTCCTATCACAGGTAATCTGTGTCTCTGTGTAGTTGTAGTTTACGGGTAGCAAGTACAGGCACCAACCAGTCCGTCCCTGCTGTGGACGTGAAGACCTCTCTGGATTCACAATGAAAAGCTACACAATGCGTTCCACTACAGGTAACGAAACCCGGCTTCCAGAATAACAAGCAAGACAACTTTTACATGACTGTTGTTGACCAGTCCCTTCCGTGCATGGGTTTGGTATGCTATGGTTGGTTTTTTGAAAGGATTGGACAAATTCTTTGAATTATTCTCAGGGAGGACTGACTCCCTGAAGGCAGTACAGATGCTGTGAGAAAGACATCAGCAGGGTGGCTATGTATGTTCCTCTGATCTCTGTGACTGCTGAGACTCTGGGAAGCTGTCCTTCTGATTGATACGGGGGAAAATGCCGAAACTAGGTGAGTTACAAAGTGCTCAGACTAATTTGGTTGTAACACCTTCGTCGGAATCTGGCAGGATGTTCGGATGACTAAGCACCATGGTGTTGCTGTCTACAGGGAAATAACCTTTGGTCACAGCTTTCAAGTGGTTGTGTTCAGAAAAATCACTGCTTTTCTTTTGCAGGGACTCTGGGTGTGGAGGAGCGTTAGGAGGCTAAGGGCTGTTTGAGGACTGTGGGTGGAAAAGGTGGCATCTGGAGTTTGCATGTAGACAGTTTTCATCTCTAAACAGATGAAGGATTGAAATGCTTTAGAAATGGGGCTCTGAACCGATGGAGAACACTCGCACATGAAGTTTCTCCTTCTCACCGTTTCTGTGTGTTTGCTAACTCTCAGACGTCTCTGGATCCCAGTCATCTGCTACTGGCAGGAACACCTTGTAGAGACCTGCAAACCCAGCGGTGTTTATTTGTGTTCTCCCATTATGTAGGGTTTGTCAGAATATTGACACTGCCATTTCCTCTAACAGCCAGTAAGCAATTGGAACTCACAAACAAGGCCTTTTGTACTTTAAAATCCACCTTAGGCTTGTTTTTAGCCTTACTTAATACTTCTACAAGTAGACTTCATTTTATTTTTCTGGTAGATTGGAAAAGTTTTTAAGGATTGAAATACAGAGAGCATTTCAAAATAGCTTTAAAAGTTATGTTGGTATTTACACACTCTTGTTCAAGTCTATATATCATATTTTGTTGAGGTTTATCTGAAATTTTTTGGCTCAGAAGACTTTCTAGACCTTAAATTGAATACTAGGAAGGAATTCAAACTTGGAAGACATAGATGAATGTTAATATATCTAGTTTCTTGACCTATGATTTGAACCTCTGGCAGCCATGCTATTTCATAGAGCCATGACTACTCCTGTTATATGGAATGTGGTCACCTGCAGATCATATATGTAAAATGTACATTTGCCTTCCAGATGCCCAGAGCTGTGCATGTGATTCTCTGTCAACTTTATATATGTATACACACACATTCTATCCAGTATATAAAAATGGTTATATGTCTGACTATGTCGCAGCGCATATATACAGTTGGAATCAGAGCCAGGCTTGGTTGGGAAAGTTTTGTGGGAGAAGTGAGGGTTTTGTTTTGTTTTTTTTTTGGAGAGGGAAGTTGGGCTACATAATATATTAATACTTTGGCAGAAAGAAGCAGACATAACGATTCCAAGGCTGGAGTTAAATGCATTCATGATTAAGCATGAACCACTTAGGAGAAGATTGTAAATTACTGGTTGAAAATAGCCAGGCTAAAAAGTTAAGAGGCGGCAAGGAGATAAGTGTGGAAGAGAACAGGAGGGGGTGTGTGGGAGCTTCTGTAGGCCATGTGGCTGGTAAATGTCAGCGTTGGATACCGGCACTCCAGACCACGCTGCCATCTAGCGGAACTGGCTGAAATTACTGCCTCTCCTCACTGCCGGTGAAATTAGCAATGTGATTTCTTGACCGCAGAGCAGCTCATTTTTCTCCCCCCTGGGGATTTTAGGTGAAGAATTCGAGAAAGGAGATGGATACCAGTATGCTTCCTCAAACGGTAATGGTTTTGACTCTAGAACATGGAGCTGAGTGCCAATATAAAGAATTTCCCATAGACAGCGCTTGAACGCTGTGATCTCTTTTTAAAATTAATTTTCACAGCAGTCGAGTTGCTTGACAATGTCGTGTTAGTCTCTCTGTACAGCGAAGTGAAGCAGCCATACATACACATATATCCCCTCGTTTTTGGATTTCCTTCCCGTTTAGGTCTCCACAGAGCACTGAGAGTTCCTTGCACTACACACTAGGTTCTCATTAGCTATCTGCTTTATACACAATACGGTGGAGGCTGTGGTCTTGCGGCGAGTGGCGTCCATGGCCCTTCAGCTCGGAGCGTGGGACATGCGGGAAGCAGCACTTGAGAGGGTCTCCAGCTGAGTGAACGCGCACCCACGCGGCTCTGGGCCGCTTGTTGTTTCAGGTACAGAGGGGAGCCCTCTGATTGTGGACACCGCAGCCCACAGACCTCAGAGCTGGCGCAGAGCTGTCCTCCTCCTCCCTCCCTCCCTTCCAGCCATCTGTTCAGAGAAACTTACTCAACTTCTTTTCTGCATCGGGGGCCCTTCCAGGTACCAGGCGTGCACCAGTGAACAAAGCAGAGAGAAATCCCTGCCCTTGGAGAACAGACATTCTCCTGGGAGAGGCAGACAGTGAGATAAACAAGTTAAATACACAGTAGGTGGGATACTATTAAGTGCTCAGGAAGAAAAAAAATTAAGCTGAATAGGAGGATAAAGATTGGGGGTGTGTGTAGGATTTGCAATTGTGTGTCATCACAGAGAATGTGATATTAGACTCACTTGAAAGTTGTGAGGAGACTTTTGGGTGAATATCCTGGGGAAGAGTATCCCAGACAGAGGGCAAGCATATGCAGAGGTCCTAATGGGCAGTGGGCACAGTATTCCAGAAACAGCTAAAGTGCTGATAAGGAAAAGGGCAAGAGAGAAGACAGAGAGATGGTGAAGGGCCAGATTCGGTGGCATGTTGTGGACTATTAGGGGCTTCCCAGGTGGTGGTAGTGGTGAAGAGTCTGCCTACCAACGCAGGAGATGTTGGTTGGATCAGGGAGGTCCCCTGGAGGAGGGCATGACAACCCACTCCAGTATTCTTGCCTGGAGAATCCCATGGACAGAGGAGCCTGGAGGGCTTCAGATAGGGTCACAAAGAGTTGGACATGACTGAACCAACTTAGCACTCAGCACTCTGTGGACAGTTATAATGAATTTGACTTTCACTAAGCAAAAGATGAGAAGCTGCTTAATTTAGTCTAATATTTTCATTTTATAGATGAAATTTAGGACCAAGAAATCAAATCAGGTATCCATGGCTGTCCAGCATCATACTGCCAAAGCCGGGATGGGAGCCTGCCTCCTAACGCCCCTGCCAGCCCAGGTGGTGTGCACAGGCGCACACAGGCCCAGACTTCCAAGTGCAGTGGTCTATGAGGAAGCCAAGTGCTGCTGGCTCCTCCAGCAAGTGTTTCATTTTTCCCACAGCATGAATTACCTACCTATAGAGGACCCACAGCAAACACAAGAAAGGATCAGGCCTCTTAACTCAGAAGAGTCCTCTGCTAAAAATGCCTGAGTGTAGAGAGAAATCCTTCAGATTTTCCCAGTGGTTAAACTCAAGAATCTACAATCTTGTAAAGCTTCCCCTATATTTATATCTAAGTAATTGGATAGAGTTAAGAGACAATTTCTGTATTCCCAAGTGTTTGATCCCAGTTCTCAGCATCACTGCTCACCATTAAAGTTAGTAAGATTGAATATCATGTTACTTAAGATGAATTTGAAAACAGGATTACCAGCTGAAGAGAGTGAATGGCTTATCATCAAATACAGTCTGAGTTGAACTAATTTTGCCCAACATTCTTGCTTTGCTATGAGCTAATTCAAAGCTTTCCCCTCCCTCTTCTTCTGTCTCCTTTAGACCTCATGACAGTTGTCCTCTGGACGCAGGCCAAGTCCTCTAATCGCATTTTCTGATGAAGGTTGGGCTAGTGCTAAGTCTAGAGGAGAATGGCTTTGTGCTGTTGTCTGTGTCATCTTGTGTCCTTTCATCACATGTGGCCTGTATCTTGTGCATAGAACATAAGGTTGTGCCATCTTGTGGAGGGAACTAATTCATCCCTAACTCTGTCCCCCTTCTTTATTTCTTTCCTTCTAAAACGAAGCTCCCATTATAGGTAGTGTGAAATCTATAGCACCATCTTATTTTGCATTTATATTTGTTTCCATAGTACTTTCTCTTTCACTTTGTCTCTCTCTTTTTGCCAAACATGGTAATTTCATATGTTCACTTGTGTGTGTTGTCTGTCAGTGAGCATGCTCCTCATTTACTGCCCAGAATTTTATATCCATTATGGTTCTTCTTGTGCAAAAAAGAAACCCTAGTTTAGACTGGCTCATAACAAACTGGATTTTTTATTAGCTACATAACTGGAATGAGATTTGACTTAGTAGTCCTGTGATGTCTAGAACCCACTATTTTTTTCCCCAATCTGCCTCCTGTGGTTGGGTCTCATCCTCAGCTGACTTCTCTCATGCTGGTTAAATGTCCACAGCAAGCCTAACTGCGTGCCCACAATCCACTCACCCAGAACTGGCTTTTGGAAATTCTATCAGGGTGACCTTTCCCAGAAGCCCCCAGCATATGTTTGATGTCTCACTGACCCAAACTGAGCCAGGTGCCCAATCTTAAACCAGTTTATCAACTAAGAAATGTGCTGTGTTGATTGGTTTAGGCTTGGGTTGCCTAAACCAGTTTTTTGTGGTGAGGGGGATGGGATTACTAGACTGGGGGGAAATGGTCAGGGCTGAACCTGAGAGCTGGGGGCTGGGGTCAGTTTCTCCCTGAAACAGCATGCTGCTCCACAAGGATGGAGGGATGGAAGTAACACTGTGGCTAGTCAGCCACAGTGTCTCCTACACGGGCTTCCTTTCACTGTGTTTTTTCTTTATTCCCCATTGCTTCTTATTTGGTGACTGACTGTGGTCTAATATAGCAAATGGAGCCCTGCGTATTGGCTTACCAACCTGTTCCCCCAATGACAAATGAGATATATGCTCTCAGGGAGAACAAGGATGCAGACTCCATGAACCGTAACAGCACTGCCCGTCAGAGAGGGAAGATCTCACCCGCAGACCTGAACAGTGAGAATAAGAACAGAGAAAATTAATTACAGGCAACCCTTCAATCTATAGTAATTATAGGCCCCCACAGGACACTGGAGTCCAATATAAATTTTTTTTTAAATCAATGTAATACACTTTTGTGCATCATGTACATGCCAATGAAAATATTTCATGGAATGCCCCTCAAAGTTAATTGCTGTTGTTACCATCTTTTAAATAGCTGCTTGATATTTCATGATGGATATTTTGTTCATCTGTTCCTCCTTAGGCATATTCTCTT